CCAGCTCCTTGTCCTTATATCCCAGCTCCTTGTCCTTATATCCCAGCTCCTTGTCCTTATATCCCAGCTCCTTGTCCTTATATCCCAGCTCCTTGTCCTTATATCCCAGCTCCTTGTCCTTATATCACAGCTCCTTGTCCTTATATCACAGCTCCTTGTTCTTATATCCCAGCTCCTTGTCCTTATATCACAGCTCCTTGTTCTTATATCCCAGCTCCTTGTCCTTATATCCCAGTTCCTTGTCCTTATATCACAGCTCCTTGTCCTTATATCCCAGCTCCTTGTCCTTATATTCCTTCCATGAGTGCTAAGTAGTCATACCTGGCTTAGTGCTGTCTCCAGAAAATTGGTGTCTCGCACCAATTTGACGTCTCGCTAACCCCCCCCTCACCTTTCTTGGTGGTCACGTGACAGCCTGCCACCCGTCGATTGGCTACTTCAAGCAACTCTAACCAATCATCTTATCCCTTCTCATCCGGGTCTCAGAGTCCTCACCTCGGCTCTTCTTGGCGCAAAAATATGCTCCCAAGCAGCGGCGTCTGACACCCGCTATTTTGAAAAATGTCACAATGGGCTTCCCCGTCTCCCCTCAGACCCCTCTACTTGACCGTTTCAAAACTTGAAACTTGAGTTTCTCCTAAACCGAGAAACTTGCACACTTCCTGCCTGAACTGAAACGATCATTGGGCTGTCAAGTATACACACAGAGGTGGGGAAAATGACCCCTGAAGCCGGGAAACGTACCAAACGAGACGGCAATCGCAACAGTTACTACACTTGCATCAGTGTAGATGTGTTACCACACGGACACGATGCTGGGGGTCACGGACACGACTGGGGGTCACGGGCACGACGCTGGGGTCACGGACACGACGCTGGGGTCAAGATGAGGGGGGTCATAAATACCTGGTACCCCGTGACCCATATTTCATGAACTAGGAGTGCCCTGTTCAAGTGGGCACCTGATAAACTGGCTGATTAAGGACATGACAGGAGTGCCAAGGGTGATTATGGCGCTACAAGGTGCCACCCATTATGTGCCTGGCGCGGTGCCGCCCTCATTGACCGGTAATGGGTTGTGTATTAGCACTTAATTTGTAATTTCACTTCACGATAGTGGCTCGATCTGAGCCCCCTGTCACTCGAGATGAGCCCACTGTCACTCGATCTGAGCCCCCTGTCACTCGAGATGAGCCCACTGTCACTCGATCTGAGCCCCCTGTCACTCGAGATGAGCCACTGTCACTCGATCTGAGCCACCTGTCACTCGATCTGAGCCACCTGTTACTCGAGATGAGCCGCCTGTCAATCGATCTGAGCCCCCTGTCACTCGATCTGAGCCCCCTGTCACTCGATCTGAGCCCCCTGTCACTCGATCTGAGCCACCTGTTACTCGAGATGAGCCGCCTGTCACTCGATCTGAGCCCCCCTGTCACTCGAGATGAGCCCCCTGTCACTCGATCTGAGCCCCCTGTCACTCGATCTGAGCCCCCTGTCACTCGATCTGAGCCACCTGTTACTCGAGATGAGCCGCCTGTCACTCGATCTGAGCCCCTGTCACTCGAGATGAGCCCCCTGTCACTCGAGATGAGCCCCCTGTCACTCGATTTGAGCCCCCTGTCACTCGATCTGAGCCCCCTGTCACTCGATGAGCCATTGTCACTTCGTCTAGGCCCGTCACATGATCAACGCTCGTCACTCTAATTACAGAACTTTACACCAACCCATTTCTCTTTTTCGAAACCCATTTCCAACTGTCCCAAATATCCTACTCTTGACCTCACCCCATTCATTACGAAATTGTGTTGACTTGGAGTTCCCCCCACCTGATAATTAACTTAATTTTCCTCCCAATCAATCCCAACATCTCCAAGTACTTCTAATCCCGCTCCAATCACCATCCCAATCACTTTTGATACCTCGCCTCCTTTCATAAATTCCGCCATTACGCTGCGATCACACCCCCACGCCCTTGACCCAGTTATCCCACGTCCATGGAACACACCAAAACAACCAACCAACCTCAAATCCCAAGCTGATGAGATCAGTCAGGGCCGACCGAAGAGGGAACTGAGGCAATGTGCGAACACCGGGAGTGTCTACACCCTGTGGGTACACTCCCAACGACGCCACCTTCAGGCGGATCTTTGACGGGGGAGGGGAAAGACCTTTGACATACCGCCATCTTCCTGTCACCATCGCGACCCGTCTAAAGTTAGTGGGCCTCGCGAAAATTTAGGTAATTCACTCCATAAATGAAATCGTTAACTCGTGTAGCAATACAGCATTGGAAAAGACAGCACAAGTAAATCAATACAATGTTCAAGACAGTTGAGAGACAGACGAAGCAGCAAGCAGACATACTGGCGACGAGGGCCTCCTCCTGCTGCTGCTGCTGCTGCTGCTGCTGCTGCTGCTGCTGGGGGTGGTGCTGCTGCTGCTGCTGGGGGTGGTGCTGCTGCTGGTGCTGCTGTGTGGTAGGTGGCGGCGCCTGTGTTGATCTGAGTGCCGAGCTAAAACACTCGGCCTCCAGTTGTGTACACAAGGCACTTCGCAGTCAGTATTGTCCCAGTCTCATCTCATGCACTCGCTTACAGTGTGTGTGTGTGTGTGTGTGTGTGTGTGTGTGTGTGTGTGTGTGTGTGTGTGTGTGTGTGTGTGTGCGCGCGCGTGTGTGCACGCTGAGACTCGCGAGGGGGGCCATTAGTAACCATCGTCAATGATGGTTGATCCCGCCCCCCCCCCACAACCGTGATATAAACAAAGGAATACATGACGGTAATGTAAACAATAGTCACGTGACTGATGTAAACAAAGGAACAGGTGGGCCGCGATGTAAACAAAGGAACAGGTGGGCCACGATGTAAACAAAGGAACAGGTGGGGCCACGATGTAAACAAAGGAACAGGTGGGCCGCGATGTAAACAAAGGAACAGGTGGGGCGCGATGTAAACAAAGGAACAGGTGGGCCGCGATGTAAACAAAGGAACAGGTGGGGCCACGATGTAAACAAAGGAACAGGTGGGCCGCGATGTAAACAAAGGAACAGGTGGGGCCACGATGTAAACAAAGGAACAGGTGGGCCGCGATGTAAACAAAGGAACAGGTGGGCCGCGATGTAAACAAAGGAACAGGTGGGCCGCGATGTAAACAAAGGAACAGGTGGGCCGCGATGTAAACAAAGGAACAGGTGGGCCGCGATGTAAACAAAGGAACAGGTGGGCCGCGATGTAAACAAAGGACAGGTGGGCCGCGATGTAAACAAAGGAACAGGTGGGGCCGCGATGTAAACAAAGGAACAGGTGGGGCCACGATGTAAACAAAGGAACAGGTGGGCCGCGATGTAAACAAAGGAACAGGTGGGCCGCGATGTAAACAAAGGAACAGGTGGGGCCACGATGTAAACAAAGGAACAGGTGGGCCGCGATGTAAACAAAGGAACAGGTGGGGCCACGATGTAAACAAAGGAACAGGTGGGCCGCGATGTAAACAAAGGAACAGGTGGGCCACGATGTAAACAAAGGAACAGGTGGGCCACGATGTAAACAAAGGAACAAGTGGGCCGCAAAATGTAAGTATAAGGAGGATCAATATGACTTCAGACGACACCAGTAGACGCTCTTTGTTTTTATAATTAAGTTTATTTCACACCCGAGACTGAGCCTGCTGGCGTGGGTGAGACTGATGCACGAGGATGTCTTAGGAACTGAATCTGGTGATCGTTTCTCCAAGGAAGTTGCATCCTTGATTAACTAGTTTCATGGTTAAACTATGCACCAATCAACTAGTTTCATGGCCAAATAATATATCAGTTAACTAGTTTCAGGGTTCAACTATATATCAGTGAACTAGTTTCAGGGTTAAACTATATATCAGTGAACTAGTTTCAGGGTTAAACTATATATCGGTGAACTAGTTTCAGGGTTCAATTGTTCATCATTGAACTAATTGATGAATAATTTAGCCATATATTAACTATTTACATGGTTAAGCCCCCCTCTCACATCTCACAGATCGTAGCAGGAGTAAAGGCACACGTTATGTGACTTGTTCTTGTAATTGGTTCACAAAGTTATCTTAGGTAAGCAATTAATAATTGTGTCGAATTGTGTACCTATAGTTCCTGTTTGTAGATCATATGTAGCCCGCGCCTATGTGTTTGGGGGGGAGCGGGACGGTGGAAATACAAGTCCACAGTGAGCTCAGGCGCTGAACCCATCCTCGTTTTCATGAACAAATTTGTGATGGTACGAAGTAGTACGTAGATGTGTATTAACTAAATGAGTGTAGTAAACAATGTATCGTGAGGTCATGAGGTGAGCTGCTTAAAGGAGTAATAGTCTACTAACAGTACTGTAATTAATGTTGCTGTAACTACTTTCAGTAGTGACAATTAGTACCCACAGTAGCACGGGGATTAGTAGCAGCGGCGGGGGGTGACATCATGCTTTTAAATCAATGAAAAATGTATGCAGTAACGCTGGTGGTGTCGTAAAGTGTAAACAGTAGGAGGCGGGCGGGCGGGCCTTACAATGTAGCCGAAGATGTCCGCCAATTGTATTATGAAGACTGGGTTATGCCAGATGTTGTCGCTTGCCCTCACCTGTCATAGTGCAAGAGGTGCTGCTGCTGCTTACCTGCAGCGCACCTAGTCTTGCTTTTGATTTCCAAGTATTTCATACCCCAGAAGCACGAGCGGCAACTCTTGATGGCGAAAGTGTTTAGTAAACATTGGATTTTACGCCTGGAGCTTGCGAGGGGGTGATAATGGCTCTTTGTTTTTGCGGCGCCAGGGCTTCAGTCTGCGGAAATGAAGAGCCGCACCTAAGATGCAAGTGAAACATTGTCGATCTTGTGCATGACCACAAGCTGGCCACATCATGACAGCGCGGTTGGCGGCATCCCCGCAGTAACATCGCCGCGTGTCAACTGTTGCGCGGCGGTCAAGATGGCGGGTGATCGATGCAGTGACGTCACTGTGACGTCATAGTAAGCGACCA